TTGTATATCTTGTTTAGCTAAAACATGTCTGTTAAACAGTGATCAAAGGTCAAGTTCTTGAAATGAAATATGCTGATTTACTGGGTCTCGTTAGATCGGTATATTTATTTGAAAGTGACTCAAATGAGTGTAGAGTCTAGGATTGGTATGATTTTAAACTAATTATTGGATTGGTATCAGTCTCTATCAATTTACTTACTAATATAGGTTAAGGAAACTCACTGTCAATTGCATACTTGCTCAATGCTGTACCCATGGCTTGGATCATTCGACAGAGGTAAAACCTTCGCAAACCGATCCAAGCAATTCCTGACAGTAATATCTATAATCTCACCAAAAATCGGATAACGCCCCTCACTATAGGCCAATTGTGGCCAAAGATCAAGTTCTTGACATGAAATATGCTGATCTAGTGGTACTTGTTAGATTGACATATTTTTTTAAAGATGACCTAAGAAAACTTATGAATCTTGATGCCTTTAATGTTGAATATTCATATTAAATTTAGAACATTGTGAATCTCAAGGTTTTCAATATTTTAATATTCAATGTTGAATCTCAAGATCTTCCTCTCAAGGTATTCTGTTCTGAATTACAAGTAAAATTCATGTTAATTTTTTTAATTCTTAATCTATATGTTAATAGTCACTTAAATTTTAAATTGATACGAATTATAGTTATCAAATTGATTTAATTACTTTTTATCTAATACATTTCCAAGTTAATGTCAAAAAAATGTTTGTTTGTTTGGAACAAACCTATTTTTATATATATATATATATATATATAACATTTCTTATGATTTTTTAGAGAGATTAAAGTGAATTTTTTAATAAAAATTAAGTCTATCAAATGATTTAAAATTTTCTTATTAAAATGATTTATTCTTTTTTAATTTAACGAAGAAGTCAACTTTGAACCACTTGAAGCCAAAATTTGTTTCAAAAAATGTGCTTGAAGATGCTTCGCAACCACTTAGAGCTTGCTTGGAATCTTCCCCATTGATTTAAAAAAATGAACCACGGGGCCGATTTGTGCTTGGCTTCTGCTGGTGGAGGCTGTATTCTGCTGCTGATCTTAACATGATATCAGTCAAGATCAGGCCCCAAAACTGTATTAACTCAAAAAGTCTTCTCATACAGTAAAGAGCTTTAGCTGAAATCTAAACTAATGTAGTTCCCAGGGTTTTTGTATAATCTAGAGGTATATATGTTCTTACAAACACATATATCTCATCATTTTTTCGTATATATCAAGTTATCATCATATTTGTTATAATTATATTGGTGGAATAAATCTCATCACTTTATCTGTTATCAATGCAATAATAATACATCACATGTTTGGATCTTCACATCATTTTTTCTCAGAGCTGCACATAAATCTGCTGATATTGTTTCTCTACAAACACATTTCTCATCACTTTTCGCTATTTGATGTTGGATTAATCATCTTATTTGTCATATTTGAAGGAGCCTCATCATTTATATTTGTTATCAATATAATAATAATAATAATACATCACATAATAATCCCAATATGATATATAAACATGATTATTATAGCATTACTCATTTGAAAATTTTAACAATGACAACAATATTTTCATGATCATGTTCTCTCTTTCGCTTCCTCACACACATGTTGAATAGCTTTTCTTAAATCCACAAGGCAAATCACACACAAACAACAAGATTATACTTAACCATATCTATCTATCCATTTTTTTTTGGGGGGGGGGGGGGTAAATTACACTGAACTCCTTGAGGTTTGTGATAAAAGCAGACACCTCACCTCAGGTTTCAAAAATGACACTCATATCCCCTCTGGTTTAGTTGTTAGTAACAAACTCCTCCCTCTGTTAACTTTCGGTCAGTGACTATGACAGAAATAGCAGACATTGTTTGTCTATGTTTTGAGAATACCAATTTTTCCCTTATTAAATGAGTTAATGAGTAAATAATTTTATAAAATAAAAAATACTTATACAATGAAGCAACCCAACCCACAACAAAACACACACTCAACTCTGTGAACAAGTTCTGCACAGCATAAAGAATAAAAGGAAAAAGAAATTAAGTATAGTTTTATGCGTGAATCAAAATGTTATCAAACGAATCCACAGTAATGAAGCATGCAATTCAAAGAGATTGATTTACTAAACAAATGATCCAAAGCAGTCCAAGAACAATTGTTTGATTTTGTTATTCAAATTTTGTTTTGTGAACATTAAAAAAATAAAATAAAATAAAAACTAATTTTGTGAAAAAAATAAGATACTCATCATTTTCCATAGGATTTTCCCTGTAACTCAATTGCCCACAACATAATTTGGCCATAAATAATCACCAGCACCCCCAACTGATTTTAAACTAATTATTGGATTGGTCACCAAATTTTCATGTAAAAATGTAATTTTGAGAAAACTCTCAATTTTCATTAATCAAATATCGATATCAACTTCAACTTCTCTTGCCCTAAGACTTATATCTTTATTTAAAATAAGTCTTGCTAGTCAAGAAAATCTAAAATGGAAAATATATATTCTTGCTAGTCAAGAATATTTAAAAAGAAAAATATAAATTCTTGTCAAACAAAGAAATAAACTAAATATGCAACCTAAATAAATATAAAACTAAATATTTTAACGTTAAATCATAATTATAATTAAACACTAAAATATTAAAATAAATATATCATTTATAAATTTTGATCTGCATCACTTTTCATGAACCAACCATCTTACAACAACTCCTTTTATCTCTATAAATTTTTCTATAAAGCTCTCACTCTCTCTTTCTACTATGCATGTGCGTGTATGTTCTAAGTGCAAAAAGTACATATGTATATATAGATCAAGTAATGGCGGGCAAAAACAATGGTGTTCAACTGAATGTAAACCCATCATTATTGCAATCAATAACAAATTTGAGATTCATATACATGCTTTCAACCTTTAAAAAAAAAAAAAAAAGATAAAAAAAAAAAATGTGTTATTATAGCAATAGAATGAAGGTGGTAGATTTGCATGGTGATAGGTCTCATATTGTATAGAGAGAGAATGACTCGTGAGTTGGAGGTCTGGTAACAGTGTTCTTATGGTGTGGATTTGGGTTTTGTGTGACAGTGGTTATCAACGATTCATTTAGTATGACTGGCTTTGTTGAAGTGGTGATCAGCAAGAAACTGTTAATGGAAATGGGAGCGGATTTTTTTGGACAGAAAATAAAAGTGGGTTGGCGGTCTAGTAGTTTGGTTAGAGAGAAATCAATTTATCTTTAGTTACAACAATGATCTTTGGGTTAAGGCCAAGGTTCTGAAAAGCGGTTGCGGTCGCCGTAACGATGGCGGTAACGCGGTTGCGGTTGCGGGGTGTAAAGGCCGTAGTGTAACGGTTGCGGTAATCGGAACCGTGAATTTTTTTATTTTTCGCACAATTTGAAAAAAATTTACCGATACGCATATTTTTTTTCCATGATCATATTTATTGGGTTAAAAATAAATATTGATCAATTTTTGTAAATTTTTAAGTATGATCCAATATATTTCATATTTCTAAATCACTATAAACTGAGTTTTTTACATTTTATTTTAATAATTAATGACTTTATATTATACAAAAAATCAATCACTAACTATTATATATAAGATAAACAATGACAAAAGTAAGAGAATAAATAAAAGCCTAAATATATATATATATATATATACATATTTTAACCAAGCCAAACAGATAATGACCACGCCAAATAGATAATGACCACACTTATTATTATTATTATTATTATTTTCAAACAATATATAGATAGACACACACAAACAAAATGATTTAGTGATAGCAGCTGAATAGAATAGCATAGGTCTTACAGTTTCAACAAATCAATAATATGTTCTTCATCTTCCCTCTTCTCTCTCTCTATCTGTTGCTCCTCCATTTTCTCTCTTCTATCTTCCCTCTTCTCTTTATCCCTCTTCCCCAATTTTCAGCTTTTTTTTTGTATTTTTTTTAAAGAAACAATTTGGCACCGTTACGTAACGTACGGCACCGTTACGACCGCTACGGCAGCCGCTACAGCCGACACACCTGTGAATCTCAATCACACTGCAAAAGCGGCCGTAACGGGTGGCGGCAACCGCCAAAACCGTTACGTAACGGCGTTACGTAACGGTTGCGGCCGCTTTTTAAAACCTTGGTTAAGGCTGTCTGGTACAAAGATATTTTAAGTCAAAGATAAGGGTAAAATAGTAAAATACCATTCTTGGTTGACAATGCTAGGCTGAAAAATCTGACAGGGGAGGGGAGTGTCATTTTAGAAACCTCAGGGGAGGTCTTTGAAATTATCAGTCTTTGAAATTGTCATAAACCTCAGGAGAAGTTTTTTATCAGCAGAAGGAATAATCTTTTATTAACTCGATAAACAAATTACATCGAGAAAAAAAAAAAAATTTTTATTTAAAATAAAAAAAAAAACAAAATAGCTTCAATGCTAAAGGGCCTATCCCAAACAAGGTTTGCACAAACCACAAGCAAATCCCAAGCTGCAAGACAGAACCACAAACAAACACCTCTAAGTTAGCACGATACCGACTTAGACAAACCCAAATAACAGCCACTTAGCTGAACAGCAGCAGCAGCAGCAACACCTATTCAGAGGGGCAGCATCCAACCCAAATAACCAAACAAAGAAGGATTAGCACAAACAAAAACCAGCAAACAGAGTGAAGACATTGCACAGCTGGTCCAATCTACTTAGCTGAAGCCTCGACGACTCGGTTTCCTGCACTTCCAGCTTTTTATCCCATCTGAATGGAAAAATAAATTCATTAACCGAATTATCCAAAATTTAACAATATCAACCACTTTGTTCCAATCTGGCTCTACATTATTAAAGACTAAAAATCATTCTGAACCGACCAAACTGTGCACAACACCGCCATTGGAAGGGTAATCCAAATATGCATAGCTGAATTCTTGAATTTAAACAGAAAATATGAACTTTGAAAGGAGCTGTGCCGCACCGCACCGCACCCTACAGAAGAAACTGTCTCTACCACCATGAACAAATTTTTTCAGTGGCCTTAATAAGAGATTTGAACAAGAACTCCTTGCTAGAATGAAAGTCACAATAATGTTTTTGTCCTCACCAGACTCACCACCGAAGTGAAAATCCCTTGAATAACTTGAGTCAAACTCCATCAAAGTCAGAACTACTTCGAAACTTATAAAGAGACAGACTATACAGCCAACAGTACTGTACTACAGCTCTTTTAATGGAGCATTGCCCATCCATTTGTCCAACCAGAACCTAGTCACTCTGTCATTCCGAACTGAAACTGAAATTCCTCTTTCAAAAACTTCAAACAGAACGCTATTAACTTCTTAATGGAGCTTGAAACAGAATGCTATCTATATTTATCTATTTTATTAAATAAATCATAGACTTGAGTAGGTGTAAACGTTGTCATTTTTTTTTCCGCCCAATATTGCCCTTTCTATCAAGCGTCACATCCAATCTGTCAAATAAAATTCATTTTTCATTTATCAAACTGCCCAAAACTACTAACACTTTTCCTCAATCATTATACTATCCAAATATTTAAACGTAATGCATTTGCACTCACTGCTAGTTATTATATAAAGTTCACAATTCACTTGATGTGAAACACCCGTGTGACAGTGTCACGCATTTTTTCATGCCCAAATTGTCCTATGTAACTGTCTAAGTTTTTCGTTTTAAATTTTGAATTTTTTTCATTTTTTTCTCCTCCATCTACCTTCATCTAACTTCCTTTCTACATGTACACACACACAGCCACTACTAAGCATAATTGGAACTAATTGTGATGATGTGTTCAATGCAGTGCAGGGAGAAGTAATGGCAGAAAGAGCTGTGAGCTCTGTTATTCAATATTTGGTACCATTGTTGGCCCATGAAGTGGAGTTATTGAGGAGTGTCCACAAGGAAATTGTCAGTATCAAAGCTGAATTCAAGCGAATACAATCTTTCTTAGAAGATGCAGAATCAATCAAATTTTGTGTATTGTTCATACATTAAAAAGTGTGTGAACAAATTCATTTTCATGGAAGTGAGACAATTATTGGGTTTGGATTTGGACAAAAATAAGAATTGGTCAGTCGTATTATAATATTAAATTTAGGTCCTTTTATTTTTATTTTTTTGTCTTAATGCAGATAGCCTCTTGGGTTGTTTCTTGGTATGGGTATTAAGGTAGAGAGTAGTTTGATCTGAAATGAGGTGATCTCTCTATTAGATTGGATTTTTATTTTTATTTTTTTATGATTCTTGAAACTAAAATGGCAGAGAGCTTGGTGTTGCCAACTTGCAACTTTCTGCTTTTCTGTTTGGATTTCTTTTGCAGTTTACAAATGCTTTGTATAGTCTTATTGTTGGTGGGGTTATCCTACTTCAGTTTCTTTTTCTCTCCCCCTTTGAAATGTTTCATCATTATTAATAAAATATTACTTTTTTTTTTTTACTGATTAGAAAAAAGAAAAGAAAAGAAACATGAAGGCCACATAAGAACTCATGTTTTCATAAATCATTCAATAATGCCTTCAGAAGTGAATTGGTTAAAGATATGTGTGAAATTAAATTTTCAATGATGGCAAAGCCACCATATTAAGTTATTTGGAATGAAAGTAACTTCTTTGAGATGGATTAAATGTACTTAGGCTCTTTCCTAATATATTCACTAAAACTTCATTTTCAAAGGAAAGAGAGATCAAAGAGTCACAAAACTTCCTTGAGTAAACCACCTTGTATTATATTTTTTAGGGTAAATTACAAATACACCGCCTGAGGTTTGTTTCAAATATAAATTGACCCTTGAGGTTTGGAAAATTACAAATACCTCATTGTCATAATTTTTTGTTAAAAATTGATGTATTATTGATTGATGTATGTTATATATTACAAATGGTGAGGGGCTCCTTATATAGGAGATGTAGTGTAGTAGGTGGTAGTGGTAGGTGTGTAGTAGGTGGGAGTAGGTGGTGGTAGGTGTAGTAGGTGGAGTAGGTGATGGTAGGTTTTAACAGCCCCCCGCAAACTCAAGGGGGATAGGAACTAACCAACTTGAGTTTGGAGAGAGTAACAAAACAAGAAAATAATCTGAAAAATAAAAAATGGATAGGAGACACTGTATGGTCGTGTCAGACCGTTGTAGAAGACTGTATGGTTATGGCAGACCGATGTAGAAGACACTGGCTCGTGTTGGACCGATGTAGAAGACAGTTTATGGGGTCATGTCGGACCGGTGTAGAAGACAGTTTACGGAGTCTTGCTGGACCCTTGTAGAAACTAACCGGAATCAATGTCGGGACAGTTTACAGAGTCTTGTCGGACCCTTAAAAAGTCGCACCCTCAAAAGGTGTGCCCAATCTGTCAAAAGGCGTGCCATCAAAAGGCGTGCCCAATCCATAAAAAGGTGTGCCGGACATGATGGCGAAGCGCGTGACTACCTTGGCTTGCGCGCCCATGTTGTTGTCTAGCGCCGAGCGGCGCACGATACGCGTGTCTGTCTTGGCTATTTAACCAAGACGGAGGCTGAGGCTGAGGCAGAGACAAAAACCTGCTAAAAAACCTCTGAAAAACTCTTTGTGTTCTGAGAGAGATACTCTGTAACACTCTGTTGCCCAATCCTTCTCTGAAAGTACCAGTCGGAAATCGCTACAGAGACAAAAACCTGCTAAAAAACCTCTGAAAAACTCTTTGTGTTCTGAGAGAGATACTCTGTAACACTCTGTTGCCCAGAAAATGGCTTCGTCTTCCCGTGGTCTGCTCACTCTCTTTCCCGACCTCAACGAGTCAACAAGAGAGATAACTGGTGCGGTGGCCAGTGAACCTCAACCAAACACCTCTGGTTTTGCTCCGTTGAACTTTCCGATACGGTCTGTGGAGCAAAAAATGGCAGTGCAAACAGATATTGAAGCCAATCAGTATACATTGAAGTCATGTGTGGAAACCATGACTGCGGTCACAAACTTGTCGCACCGGCTGCAGAGTAGGACAAATGAGGTGCAGCAGTTAAACTCCCAGCTGACTCTGCTCCAACGCATTTATAAGGATGCGCGAGCAGAGATAAGTGTGCTAAAGGCGGAAAATAAGGAGCTGAAGCGGAAGGCCACCGTTATGATCCGATTTGGAGGTCCGCCATATGCTGTAGTGGAGGAGCAGGGTGGAGTGTTCGTGCCCAGTGGAGTGGGAAACACGGAGGCAACACCGTCAAGGACCGCCCAGGACGGAGGCAAGAAGAAACGACCGGCGGAATAGGCGAAGAAGTGAGGTCGGTGGGTGGCCGGCTGCAGAAAAGAAAACAAATCTTTGGAAGGGCCGCCCAGGACGGAGGTAAGAAGAAAAGACCGGCGGAATAGGCGAAGAAGTGAGGTCGGTGGGTGGCCGTCGGCAGAAAAGAAAACAAATCTTTGAGTGTTGTGTTTTGGTGCTTTTTTTTTTTGGTTTGGTTTTTGTTTGTTTTTGTTTGTTTGTTTTTTTGGGTGTTGTTTTTTTTTTTTTTTTTTTTGTAAAATTGTGATCGGGGTCGATCCCTGAAATGAATAAAATATGGTTTGGTGTGCAAAGTTATTTTTATTTTTTTATTTTTTTTATTTTTTATATTGTGAATTTTTTTTTTTTTTTTTTTGATTACGAAAAAAGGAAGATAAAATAAAATAAATAAAAGGAAAGTGGGGTGCAAAAGGTGATTAAAAGAAATAAATAAAGAAAGAGGGTGATGATGGATATGGGTATAGATGTAATAAAGGAATGAAAAGAAAGAAATAAATAAAGAAAGAAAAGAAGAAAAGAAAATGGGTTTGTGCAAAAGTAGACAGAGTCGGTGCAATATATTATAATAAACATAGATATATATAGATATATATTTAAAATAAAAGAAAGTTGAGTGGGTTGATTAAAAAAAGGATTGTGTGTTTGAAAATGAAAAATAAAGAAAAGAAAAGAAAGGGGATCATGTGGTGAAAGAGAAAGGAGCTGTGGGTTTGAAAAAGTAAAGTGAGAGAGAGGAATTTCGATGCAAGTTTTCTGACTCTTCTCAAAAACAACACAGCAGTGGCTGTCCCTCGGGGGGTGCACGGGCAGAAAGAAAGCAAGGGTGGAGGCAAAGACCCAGCACACAGATAACACACTACACACGGTAGCAACCGCTCGGCACCTTTGTCTCGGCAACTCCCTCTCTCGAGCTCTAGCTCTCTTTCGGCAGAGAGCCGGCGCCGCTTGAGGCCGAAGGGAGATCGAAGAACTTGGTGACGCCAGGTACGGTGGAGGGATTAAGAATCTAAGGGCAGAGCCAGCCGGTGGCCATGTCGAGGTCACAGCGAGGTATGAGATTGGGGTATATGAAAGAGTCGTCGCGAGTGAGCTGCTTGCGGAGGAGGATGGCGGACATGGCGCGAGCTTGAGAGAGAGGGAATCGGGGTGTGTTTGCTTGCAGAGATTGAAGAGAGACTCGGCTTGAGAGCCATTTCAAGGAAATTTCATACCTTAGCTTCAATCTAGGGTTTGCCCTTTGAAACTCTAGCAAAATCCTAGCTTCTTCTCTTCCTCTCTCTCTCAAACTCACTCTTTAGCAAGTCTCAACATGAATGAAGAACACAAGAGGGCTAGAGATATATAAATTAGGCCAATTAAACATTACGAATCGTAAATTTTCAAAATTTCACTGAAGGCTCTAAAAGTCATGCTAATCATAGATATGAAGTCGGTTTTGGTTTATCACACCTCTAAAGCTTTCAATTTTCAGTTCAAAGTTCCAATTGCAACAGATTTTCCTACATTCAACAGATATTATTCTAAATTCACATAATTTATATACTTAAACTTGCAAATTCATATCAAACACATAATCACATGCATAATTAAGCATAGTACGGGTTGGGTTATTGTAGAAAATTTAATGTATAAAGAGAAATAGAGAATTGTATTAAAAATTGATGTATTATTGATTGATATATGTTATATATTACAAATGGTGAGGGGCTCCTTATATAGGAGATGTAGTGGAGTAGGTGGTAGTAGGTGGTAGTGGTAGGTGTGTAGTAGGTGGTAGTAGGTGGTGGTAGGTGTAGTAGGTGGAGTAGGTGATGGTAGGTTTTAACATTTTTTATTTAATAGAATTAACTAAAAAAATAAAATTACCAACTGCCCTCTTATACAATAATAAAATTACCTGCATTATTATATGAAATAAATTTTTGATATCATGAAAAACTGTTAATTCACTTTATGATTTATTAATAAAAAATGGCTATTTGTTATGAAATTTGAAACTTCAGGTTGCGAGATGTAATTTCTAAAACTATAGGGGCAATTCGTATTTTAAGAAAATCTCAAGGGATGTATTTGTAATTTACCCTATTATATATGTGTGTGTGTGTGTGTGTGTGTGTGTAAGTTGTGAAAAGGAGACTCATACAGCTGGAATTAAATAATGATTGAGGGAGATATATATACATACCACAAGAATAAGTCCATAAGCCATATATTCAGGTACAGCTGGTGGAGGTTGTATTCTGATGAATCATAGAGCTAAAAATGTTTTATGCTTTGGATATGATTCAAATCTCAGGGGCTAAAGTCTGTAAATTGAAGTCTTTCCCCACAGTGAAGTTTTTGGTGAAATCTGACAAACCATCAAAGCAGGCAGTGCCAAGAATTTGAAACTTTGATATCATTTTTTGGAGTTGCACATCAATCTGCAGGTATGTTCTACAAACACATATCTATATATTTTTCTCATTCTACCTATGACAACAATAATATTTCCTTGATCAGAGTCTCACATCTTGAATTTTAGCCTTTTCTAAATCCACAAAGAAAAAAATCACTCACAAACATGAAGATTCTACTTAAAATCAAGCAATATATATATATATATATAACAAATGAATTACAAAAGCACTACTATGATACAAAACAGAAAGAGGAGAAAAGAGAATCTGAAATCTTCGCTTTGGCATTATTGCCCAAAATCAATTGCATACTTTTTCCTCTAATTTTTTTTATTCAAATCCATGAAATTCTTATTCAAAGTGATGATTTCGGTGTCTCTTTTCTTTTCTTTCATAGATTCCTTCTCATATTCATGATTCAAGCACGATCTAAGGATGAAAAATGATATTGTTATCTCTTTTACACTCAAATATATATGTTACCATCAATCATTGTTGCGTTCACTTAATTTTAAAAAAAATCTGTAGGGGGCAGTTTATAATTTGAAAATAATTAAAAAAACTAAAAATACTATTATAATAAAAGATTTTATTTATTTATTTATTGCAAGACCTAAAATGTGAATCAAATCTATTCTTTCATCTAACCTTTTGGAGGAAAACGTGGGCAAAATAATTAATTTCTCCATGACTGAAGTTTACCACCTCTCTCATAAACTGATAAACAGAGCTATGCACTGAATTGAAACTTCACCATCATCATCAGATGAAATACCTTCAACATTTGAAAGTATTGGCCTCAAATTATGATGAGATTCTAGATTTACAGTATATATCATCTCTACCTCAATATCTTCAACGTCTCGAGTTGGTTGGACGTTTAGAGAAGTTGCCCGATTGGATCCCGAAACTTCAAAATCTAATCACATTACGTCTATCACTACAAGAATAGTTGGCTATAACCATTGGGACCATTGTTAGCCGGTGAAGTAGAGTTGTTGAGGGGTGTTCGCAAGGAAATGGTCAGTATCAAAGCTGAATTGGAGCGTATGCACTCTTTCTTAAAAGATGCAGAATCAAGAGCAGAAACTGGAGATGAAGGTGTGAAAATATGGGTGAAACAAGTAAGGCAAGTTGCTTATCGGATACAAGATGTTATCGATGAACACATTCTCTTGGTCTTGCCAAAACAACCTGGACTATTCGGTTCCTTGCATAAAGTCACTCGGACGATCACTAAGCTAAAGCTACGACATGAGATAGCTTCTCAAATCCAAGACATCAAGACTACAATCCGTGAGATCCAGGAAGGAGCTGTTCGATATGGATTCAGTACTAGTACTTCCTCAGAACATAGCAGCACCAGAACCAGCAGCATCACCAAGAACAACATGTGGCATGACCCTCGACTAGCTTCCCTTTTCATAGGGGATGACGAAGTCGTTGGCATTGAATCTCCTAAATATGAACTGATAAGCAGATTGGTTGACCAAAATCAATCACAACGAGCAGTGATCTCGGTGGTTGGCATGGATGGAATTGGCAAGACCACTCTTGCCAAGAAAGTTTATGACAGCCAAGAAGTGGTTGCACACTTCAATTGCAAAGCGTGGATCATTGTCTCTCAATCATACAAGCCAGAGGAGCTCCTCAAAACAATGATAGAGAAGCTATCAGGGATTTATGTTCTACCTGATGAGGGAATTGAGTCACTCATTGTCAAGTTAAGAGGATATTTATCCAAAAAGAGGTACGTCATTGTGTTTGATGATGTATGGGAAACTGATTTTTGGGGATCCATAAGACATGCTTTACCCAAAAATAGTGAAGGCAGTCGGGTAATCATCACCACACGCAGTGAACAGGTTGCTACATTTTTCAAAGAAACTTCAGTGGATCATGTCCACGAGCTTGAAGCCCTATCCGAAGAGAAGGCTTGGGAACTCTTTTGCAAGAAAGCCTTCCAATTGGACTTTGAGGGTCATTGTCCCTCTGAGTTGGAGGAAGTATCCCATGCAGTCGTTAGAAAGTGTCAAGGTTTGCCACTTGCAATTGCAGCTATAGGTGGTCTCTTGTCCACCAAAAAAAAAGGTATATCTGAATGGCAAAAATTCTATGGTAGCATGCACTCTGAATTGGAAAGGAATCCTAATCTTACAAGCATCACAAAAATTTTGTTGTTCAGTTATAATGATCTGCCTCACTACCTCAAATCTTGCTTCTTGTACTTTGGCTTAATGCCAGAGGACTACTCTATCCGTTGTGGAAGACTAATTCAGCTATGGATAGCTGAGGATTTCATTGAAAAGCAGAACGGAAAAACATCGGAAGAAGTTGCAGAAGAATACTTGACTGAGCTGATCTGTAGACGCTTAGTTCAAGTGTCAACAACAAAATTTGATGGAAGAGTTAAAGAGTGTCGGGTACATGATGTAGTGCGTGAGATTATTCTCTCAATGTCCGAGGAGTTTAGTTTGTGTCAAATTTTGGAAAAAGAAAATTCAAGTTTCAATGACACAACTCGGCGGCTATCTATGCATATGCGTTATTGCAACAGGGATAAGGTTATGGAAAGCATTGGTAAATCCCCAGTTCGTTCTGTTTTTCTTTTTCAAAGTGGAAAGCTGCCAAAGAAGCCCTTATTGGGTACAGTAGCTGCAAATTTCAAGCTTTTGAAAGTGCTGGATCTTGGGGGTGCTCCTTTGGATCAACTTGATGAAGAAGTGGGAAATCTATTTATTTTGAGATACCTAAGTTTAAGGTGCACAGAAGTGAAGATAATTCCAAAGTCCATAGGCAACTTGAAAAACTTACAGACTTTGGATCTGAAATATTCCCCCGTGAGTGAGCTCCCATTTGATATCAGTAGGCTCCGTAAGTTGCGACATCTTTTTGTAGTAGGAATGAAGATACGGGGAGGGATTGGTGGTTTAGAGGAGCTGCAAATTTTGTGGTTTGTGGAGACAAATGATGGCGTAATTAAAGAGCTTGAGAAATTGAGGCAGCTAAGGAAGTTGGGAATAAGGAAATTGGAAAGAGAACATGGGAGGGCTCTATGTGCAGGCATTGAGAAGATGAAATACCTTCAACATTTGAAAGTATTGGCCTCAAATTATGATGAGATTCTAGATTTACAGTATATATCATCTCTACCTCAATATCTTCAACGTCTCGAGTTGGTTGGACGTTTAGAGAAGTTGCCCGATTGGATCCCGAAACTTCAAAATCTAATCACATTACGTCTATCACTACAAGAATAGTTGGCTATAACCACGTTTGTTAGACAACGTTTATTGAAAAACGCTGTGGAAGACATAAAATAAAATTAAAAGACACACATTCCACTTTATAACGTGCTCCGTCTCCCTCCGTCTCCATTTCTCTTTCTGTCATTCTGCTTTCTCTCTTCATTTCTCTCTCTTCTCATTTTCTATCACCGTCCAAGATCTAGGGTTTTCTGGCTCTCCTCATTCTCCTTGAGAGATTCACCAGGTTCGATTCCGATTACTTGTTCAGATCCATCGATTAGGAGTTCCATCTATTCAGATCCATCGATTCTTGAATCGATTTGGTTGAAATTTCTTGACGGTTTTTTGTTTTTCTTGATTCTGATTTTGATAATTTTGTAGAGGAAGATAGACCAGTTGAATGAAGAAGGATCAGGATCGAGACAGGGACTGGGATCGAAATCGATCGAGTCGCAGCAAGAGGAGGAGAGAAGATAGGTTGATTCACGGGAGTAATAGAGAAGATGATGGTGAGGACAGTTCAGAGGAGAGCGTGAATGATGAGGAGGACGATGACGATTACGATGGACTCGCCACCGCATTGCCGACCTAGGGTTTGATTGGAGCTCTAGGGTTTTAGAGCCCCTCGAGACTCATCATGGCTACTCCATTTCACCTGCCCGTCACTGCTGCTCAGGTCCTCTCTCTCTCTCTCTATATATATATATATATATTCACTCTCTCTCTAAATAGATAGGTCTTTGGATTTCAGGTTGGGACGTACTTTGTTGGGCAGTATTTCCAGGTACTTCAGCAGCAACTAGATTTTGTTCACCAGTTTTACAGTGAGGCCAGCACTGTGCTTCGTATTGATGGGAACTCAAGAGAGACAGCCACGGCAACGTTGGTATTGTCTTTTTAGATTCTCTCTGTATGTTTGTGAGTGTGTGTATGTACTTAAATTTATATATTTGAATTATAATTGAGGGTAGATTCCAACAATCAAATGATGAGAACTACACTTTTGAAGCAGGGAATGGGCATTCTGCTCTGTATGAAATGCATTCTGCTCTATGAAATGCTATATGGATACACACCATTTAGGGGAAAGACAAGGCAAGAGACATTTGCCAACATTCTTCATAAGGATCTTAAATTCCCAGGCGCTATATCGGTGAGATGATCCTCCATCTTCGTTCAAGTACTTTCTAATTTATGATACTTTCAACAGTTTTCTTTTTAACAGAACCTAATTATGGTGTCTGATTATGACGATACAAGCCTACTTAAACAATTACTTCCTAAATTTACACACATAATGTGGATAGAAATTAATTTGTTGGAATTAGTTGAATTTTCACATAGTTTTGTTTTTTTTTTAAAAAAAAAATCAAATGCTGCAGCACGGGAATAACTTTTGTGCGTGGTGGTGCAGGTGAATCTCTCAGCAAAGCAGTTAATGTACCGGTTGTTGCACAGAGATCCCAAAAACAGATTGGGTTCGCGCGAAGGAGATAATGAAATTAAGCGACATCCTTTCTTCAAGGGTGTCAACTGGCCTTTAGTTCGTTGCATGGTAAAAATCAAGAAACCATACAACCAAATCATTTTGCTATAATTTCTCTTTTTCTACCTCTGTTTTGTTTTATGTTTTCAATTTTACTAGAATATGTTTTGTTTCCTGTGTTTTCATTTTAGTTCATGAAATAGTAAGAAATGATCCTTCTATTTTCTGTTTTCATCTTTCAGAAAAAACACAAAAAACTTATTTGGCAAACTAAAGGCCAGTTGAATAAGATCTTCCCCAGGGTAATTACTATCTCCTGAGAACTTTCAAATAAGATCTTCTCCTTGCACCATAGAAGGCAAATTCTGTAAGACATAATTTTTGAAGTGATATCTCCAACTTTTAGTCAGTGTCATGCTAGGATGCAAGAAACATGGCCTCTTGTCCAAAATCTATTTAATATTGGGCTTAGGAGTTTATTCTGGTACTTGGTTATTGTAATTCATCATGTGGTAGAGAATTTTGAACTACCAATGTGATTACTTCTAAGGTATTGAATAATTTTTATCACATAATTGTTAGATGTTTTTATAAAAAATAAATACTCTTGTTTTTTAATTTTAATTATTAATCCATGTGGAAATTTCATAAATAATTTTGTGCGAGAGACTTGTGTTTCAATTGAAATTTATGTGTTTTGTTTCTTAATTGTTTTATATTTGTTGAACATTTTCCGGCATATTAGCAATAGGTTACCCCCCTCGAAGTGGATTTCTGGCTTGGTGGGCTATGGGAATAATAGAATATATTGTTTTTTTTTTATCTAGAATGGGCCTTGTGGAATTAAGTTTCACAGTTTTTGCAAGTTTGACTTAGTTTTTTATTAATCATATTACAATGTGCTTTAGGAAGACATGACTTGTGTCTTCATGCGAGAATATGCAAGCACATGATTTCATGAAATGTTGGAAACTAGTTCTTTTTTCTTTTCTTTTTTAATTTTTTATATTTGTGTTGAAAAGTTCTTGTATAATATATACAGAAATAGCTAGTTTGATTTTAAAGTAGTAAATTTTCCATTGCTTAATGTTGAAAACTAGTTTACTTTTCTTAATTACATTTTTATATGAGTGGTATTATGATTTCTTTTTCTGTCCAGGTAATCTTAAAGGGAAATTCAGCATCTCTGTTGAGATAAAGGTGTGTTTCCTCAATGAACATCTTGGTTTTTCTGCTCTTTGGTTTTCGCCATAACAATCTAATATGCTACTTGTTTTCTTTTGCCTTCACTTTCTTCTTGTTTCTAAAATACAGCCCAAATGTGGATTTCTTCCAGATTCAAGATTCATATCTGAAGAAAATGCCATTAAAAAGAGAATAACTCGTTTTAAAATGCACCAGTCATTGAAGATTATGTAAGGTTTAAAAGTGGCGTGCACTCACATGGAACCAACCAAGACAGATATAATTACATTAATCACTGAACCTCCGCTATATCCCTTATCTACTATCATCTTTCCACCAAACCATACAGCCAAAGCATAAGTGCCGAATGTGATAAACATAACTGATCCAAAACCCAATCCGGTAGCCAAGCCTTCTTGAATACCCGACTTATAAGCATCTAGAAGAGATTTGTTGTAATTAACCACAGCTTGCTTCTCCCCGGTAAATGATGCAACCTATACATAGGAAACATAGATTAATGTTGAACATATATATATATGCTCAAATCAAGAAATATAAGAAAATTAAATAGCAGTAGAATCTATCATAAAATAAAGACATGGTCGAAGTTTATCAATCCACAGCTGCTAGGCATGGATTTACTTGTGGATTAGTTTGCATACTGTTCTAATTGAGCCGATAGTCTGTTCAACTATAGTTGCTGCTTTAGCATAAGCATTTTGTCCGTTGGATGCCATTCTGGATATGACAAGGGCCATGGCTCCACCTGCTATTACAAGCAGAGGAAGAGGGGCCAACAGGACCAGTGTAAGAAGCCACCCCTTCACGAATGCTATCACAAAGCCTCCTAAAAATGTTGACAATAGCCAAATAGACAAATTTCAGTGATACCTAAAACGTAATAAGGCAACTAATTAAATGATTTTTTATTTATTTTTTCATTCCAACATATATATCAGAAGAAAAGAGAGAGAACTGGGATATTTCCAAAAATACAAAATGAAGAAAAATCCAGGGGACAGAAAAAAAAAACTAAGCTTATATAATCTTTGGGTGATTTATTACTAGTTGTATGATTGGTAATGCATTCGAAGATGTACTCAAGTGTGTTATTCAGGCAGATGATGGCTTACGCACAACGAATTTCCTGCAACTTGTTATTGAAGCTGTTTCCCAATCAGGGTTACTAGATCGGCTTCTTGAAGTTCAAAAGCTTGATATCTTTGACATAGAAGGGGCAATTCATGCATATTATGATGTTGTTTCTCAGCCTTGTATAGCATGTAGAGATCTGGGTGAAGACAAACTGTCAGGCAGATATGCTTATCTACATTCAATGCCTTTGGATAAGAGCTTGAAAATTGTGAGGGACTATTTGATAGCTGCAATTGTTGTGGGATTTACATTTTCATATACAATGTGGTAATCTCCTGATGGTCTTCCCTGAAAAAAGGTTGCTAGTTTTTTAGTTATTAAATTTTCTAACATAGAAGTTGAGTGTTTTTATGCGCAGCATCTCTTTTTGCCATATATATAGCTCATGGAAGTTGCAATTTCTTAGGCATCTTTTTTTGACTTGGATATGAAACCTTTGAAGAAGATGGAGCACTACTACGAACTTGATTAGCAGATAGTCAGCTGCTACACTCAGATGGTGAAAAGAAAGAACAAAGTGGAAAATGCTGCGACCATTGATGCTTATGCTAGAGACCCTACCGGTAATATATAGTAGTTTTAGGAGCTTTTTCTGTTTCTTTTTCTTCAGTCCTGTGTATTTATGTGTGTTACAACTGTTAGTGGACTTTCCTGTTGAGCTGACTATATTTATGCCTTTCACAACAACAGTTCTAACTTCTAATGCCTAGGATTTAGAAATTAGAATTCTAAATATAGACAATTTTTAAGAGTTAGAAGCCTAGATTTTCAAAGGCTAGGATTACTCTTTTTTTTTTTTTGGATAAATAAGCTTTATTAAGAAAACATCAAGATGATGCAAAGAATACAAAACACCCCCAATTCTTCTTCTTTTATTTCCCTAGGAATATTTAGAGCTCTTTGGATTTATTCATAATGCTACTTCTTTCTTGAAACCTACTTAGTTGCTTGGCATATGACTTCTTGTTCATTGTTTGTTTGAGTTTACAAAGATAATATAGACTACAAAATTCTTTTAATCATATTCAAGTTGTTCAATTCAAACTAACATAAACTTTTCTCACCTTTTTTGGCTCCCTTTTGCAGTGGTTAACACAATCAAACTAAAAAGATTTATTCACAGATTTTTGTTATGTGGTTGGACACCGTTACTTGCATCACCATGGCTAAGAACAAAAGTTTCCTTGGTATCGTGGAAAGGTACTAGCAATTTTTTGTTTTCAGTTTTTCCAAATATGCTTAGTTTTAATCAATTCAAAAAAAAAAAAAAAAAAAAAAACCTCCCCCCATTCTTATGTTTCTGTCTAGAGAGGTTGTGTATTTAATGTTGCTATTTTAATTGGTGACTGTTGCTGTTAGAGATACTTTTACATGGGATTATTGCTTATTTTTTGCTTATGGAATTACTGCTTGTCCTTCTATTGAATTTGGAGTTGCTGCTTTTTGTTTTTTTTTGCTATTGAATATTTGGAATTATGTTATTGATGTGCCTGTTTGGAATTATGTTATTGATGTCCCTCTCTCACTCTCTACATTCTTTTGTATCGGAAACCTGTTACGTAACCATCTAAAATTGTCTTTCTGAACCAATATATTGTGAACATTCATGTTGTTTTATATGTGGGTATGTATATATATAATTATTTGACTTCAGATTTTGAATGTTTCATATGTTGATAATGAATGTCTAGTTGTTTAGTTTTTCTTAAGTGGGTTTGCTTTGTTACCAGTTTGAGGTATTGTCTTCCTTTCATCCTACTCTAGCAGTTTGTGGGTTTCCTACAGAAGAGGGGCACGTGTTCTAATTGCAGAAACTGGTACATGTATATTGCGATATCATTTTTGTTCTGCAATCTGTGTTTTATGGCTTGTTCATGAACATTGTGAATTAGGATTTTAATTGTTCTGATCTATTACTTCAAATTTTATGCATCAGGTTTGTGATTACGGCTTGCCTCCGTCAATTAACAATAGTATTAAGGTTGGTGCAATATTGTATATCTTTTACATTTGCATATATGGCATGTTGCAGATGCATACATGTTAGAAAATTAAAAGAAAAGGAAAAAGATTTTAGGATCACTTTATATGTACAGCGAATTTTAATGTTGACTTTTGAATTTTGGTCACAAGTCATTTATTATTTATGATTATAATTTGCAAACTTTTTATTTTTTATTATTATTATTTTTTTTTGGGGGGTAGTTTCTTTATTTTTTTTTAAATATTATTGATTCAAGTGTTTTTTTGTAGGAGCATTGGCCAACTTGTTCCTTGAAATAAGCATTGGCCCATGAATGAGCCTTATGGAAATTGTAGCCTTATGGAAGAGGAATTAAAATTGTTTGATTTATTTTTAGTTTATGTGCTTGTGTAAAGTGTTAATAGTGCAATTTGAAAATTGAATCATTATTTTGTATTTTGTATTTTTTTTTTTTTTGAGGAGTTTTATTTTGCAGATTTAGTGCAATTGAAATTATACATTTTCTTTTTATATAAATTGCAGTGTTTTATATTTATTTTTTTTAAAGAAAGAGAAAAGATGGCGTTTTTTAAAAAACGTCAGTAAATGTTGTCAGCGTTTAACTGTGACGGTTTCACATAACGGAATGTATGAGAATTTATGACGTTTTAAAAAACGCCGGTTAAAGTCATTAGCGACGTTTTATAAACGTTGTATACCTAAAACGGCGGCCGTATCTGCGACGAAAGTTATAAACGCCGTCTTTATCCTTTAACGGCGTTTTAAAGACTTATAGTGGCGTTTTTTAAACGTTGTTAATTCTGAAAATTCCTGCAGTGAAACCTTTTGGCGGCAATATTTCGGCGGTAACAATGGCAACTATTTGTTTACCTACACTTCTCTAGCAATAATAATGACACGGCGGCCGTATCTGCGACGAAAGTTATAAACGCCGTCTTTATCCTTTAACGGCGTTTTAAAGACTTATAGTGGCGTTTTTTAAACGTTGTTAATTCTGAAAATTCCTGCAGTGTATGGGGTTCAGGTTTGACCAAGAACGATCCACTAAAACCCCTTCAAATCTTGCCTAGTTTAGTACGTCTTGTTCTTTGGGATGCATATGATGGGGAGCAATTGTATTTTGAGGTCGGAAGGTTTCAAAAACTTGAGCAACTAATTCTCGTAGGGTTCAAGGGATTGAATTCGGTGAAAATAGAGGAAGGAGCATTGCCTCTTCTTGAAAATCTAACGATTGAGCTTAGCCCGCATCTAAAGGAGGTACCATCTGGCATCCACCACCTCAGAAACCTCAAAACTCTCCGGTTTGTTAGTATGCCAGAAGAATTGATAGATAGAATGGAACCCAAGCCCAACCAAGGAAAAGACTACTGGATCGTCGAGCATATCCCTCATGTCGACCTCTGTTCCCGACTCGGAGAAGGTTACCATGTCCTTATTCCCATCGGCGGTCTCGAAGAATATTTCGGGTTAGGGAAGATAAAAATGAATCTCAAAGCTGAATGCCAATTCAATTAACTTTCAGGTTTAAAAAAACTGAATTGCTGTGTTCGTTTTTTTCAGAGTTAAAAAGAGAGTTTTAAGATGCGTTATTTGTCATTTTAATTTTTTATGTTTTAATTTTATCATCTTATTTTTTATACTGACAATTTTGATAATTAAAATGATAAAATTAAAATTTAAGGAACTAAACTAACAAACAATACATATTTTAAGGACTAAAAATGTCACGTTTTAAATAAATTATCATGCTACTTAGGCTCCGTTTGATTTGAAATAAATAAATTATAGAAAGCGAAAATGACAGAAAATAAAGTGAAAGAAAAGGAAAAAAAATTTATATAAATTTGATTAGGATGAAAATTTTACAAGAAAATATGAATTTTTATTATAAATAATTATTTTTATAACAAATTTAAATTACTTCCATTTGGTTTACTAAACAAACTCAAAAAAAATAAGGTTCTATTTGGTTTAATTTTTGAAATGAGTTTTGAAAGATAACGATAGCGTTTGGTTAAGTTTTGAAAGCATGATTTGGATTAAAAAAATTTAAAACTCTTTTCAAATTCCAAGTTTTCAAATCATGTCATTTGAGTTGTTTTTTGTTTTTTGTTTTTTTTTTTTTTTTTTTTTTTTTTTTTTTTTTTGCGCCAATTCAATTCAATTAAATTCAATTTGTGGTTCATAAATTAGCTTTACACATTTTGTGGTAATGTTACACTTTTTTTTTTTTCATCCAAACATATTAGCTTTACACATTTTGTGGTAATGTTACACTTTTTTTTTTTATCCAAACATTTTCTAGCAAAAAAATTTAAAACAGTACCACAATTATAGCATTACCACGAAATATATGATTTTATTTTTGAAATATAAATTGTCGTAACTATAAAATAAAAATAAAAAATTATATAACTTTTATCTCAAAAATGCATAACATGTATACTACAAAAATGTGTACCATAGCCTTACCCAACATTTGATAAATAGATTGGATATGATTTTTGAACACTTTCTTTTATCAAATTTAAATTTGACAAAAATAAAAGTTAAGAGTTTGAGTTGCTCTAACATACCATTATTCTTAGGGTCCGTTTGTTTTTAAAGGTAGGCTAGGTGGAATTGTTAGTAATGGGGCTAAGAAACACAATATTAGTAGACCTCACATTCATCCTAATCCAATCTCATCTCCTATAACCCAAAATAAATGAACCCTTAGGCCATGTTTGTTTACTGGCGTGGGAGGGTGATTATTTGAGAAGGGGGGGGGAGGGGACTAATAGTCCGGGCCATGTTTGATTCACAAGACTAATAGTGAAAGTATTAATAATCCCATCAAATTAGTGTGGTATTCACTATCCAATTGGATTAGTAGGATAAATTATCCCCTTGTCCATTGTTTGATTTGCATTGAATTAGTAAGTAAAAGAGTCATTTTATTTTATTTCCTAACTTAGGATATATAATCACACCCCTATCTCATTACTAATAATCCTACAAATTTGTTGGATTAAGTATCCATTGGATTAATAATACTGAAGCAAAATTTCAAAACAAACACAGGATTATTGGATCCACGGATTAATAATCCCAATCACATACTCTAATCTTGTCAATCAAACATGCTCCGAGGGGCTTAGTAATTCCCTTCAATAGGGGGATTAGCTTAGCTGGATTTTGGATGAAATCAGGAAAATAGTGAACTGATTGAGTTTATTTTATATAAAAAAAATATTATTTTATTTTACCAAATGTACCAGTTTGTTTAAATATTTGTTTGAGTTTTATTAATATAGAAATAATTTATTTGTTTATTTTATATAAAAATAATTTAACAATCCCATCACTAATCATCTCCCACACTATCATCACAACAAACACATTTTTATTTAATCTCCTCATTAACAATCCCCTCACTTACAATCTCTTCACTTTACAAAAAAATATGATAATTCAATACATTTTTTTTTTTGTATTTTTGTGTATATATTTATTTTTTAAAATATTTTTTTATAAATATTTTATTTTTTAGATACATCTAAGGGGTTGTTTGGGATGTCTTAAATAAGTGCAGTTTTTGAATTTTTGGACTAAAAAGTTGAGGAAAAAAATATGGTTATTTGGGTTAACTTTTTGACTTTTTACGGAAAAATGTGTATTAAAAAATTGTATAAATTAGTGTGTAGGGGAAAATTAGGATTAGGAGTTGTGCAGCCGTACTTTTTGACTTTTAATGAATAGTGATAACTTTTTAACTTTTTGAATAACTTTTTGACTTTTTGGACACATGTCAAACTTGGCCTAAGTAAGGTGCATCTAAAAAAGTAAAAAAAAAAATATTTGTTTAAAAATTTTAAAATATTCACTAAAAATAAAAAATAAAAAATAAAAACACAAAAAACAAAAAACTCAATTTTCAAAAAATTAAATTCAAAAAATTGAAACCAATCACAGTGATTATTTTTAAGGTCGGAATCAAATAAAAAATTATTTTTCTATTGAAACAAGCAAAGTGTAAATCACTTATACTTTTAGGCCCTGTTTGTTTCACTGGATATAAAATGGAGGATATAATATAATGTGGGATTTAGCCAGGATATATAATGAATAGGATATAAGTATTAGATAATATATCTCCTAATTCATGTTTGTTGACTTGAAATATAAGATTGGATATATATTATCCATGTTTGTTTTACAAAATATATTGTGGGATATAAATAAGTAATTTTCAAGATTGCCCTCATAATATTGTATTATATTATATTAAATTCAAAATTTATATTAAATTATATTATATTAAATTAAATTCAATAATATTATATTATATTAAATTCAATAATATTAATGTTATATTAAATTCAATAATATTAAATTAAATTCAATAATTATATTATATTAAATTCAAAAAATATATTAAACTATATTATATTAGATAGACAAAAGGGTAAATTGAACTTTTTAAATCATATCCCAACCAAAGGGATATGATATAATGGGAGGGGTGGTGATATTGTATATCCTCCACTTTTGGGGGATATACAATCCCATGAGATATTATATCCTCTTCGAAAAAAAATTGCAAAAATGGGATATGTGGACCCTACAGGATATAATATCCAATCCCACCCTTTATATCCTGGAATCAAACAAGGCCTTAGTACTTATATTGTTTATTGATATACTGCACCTTCTTACATTTAGTATGTGTTTTGTAATTATTAGGTCTTTCGCTGCAAATGCATACAGTTGAAGAGACACCCAGAATTCAAGTACTCTAAGCTTTCGATCACCTCATGATTAAGCAAATCCCTTTTTATTACCATTGATTTTTATTTTCTTTTGGATTGCAAAAAAATAAAAATTGTCATCTTTGCTAACATGAACATGTTTATTATGGTTTATTTTATTTTTTTTATTGTTATTTGCAAAAACAGTGTATTGGATTTATGTTATTAAGACTTATTTCATAGCCACAACTATGTAACTTTAATTGAGAAAAACAAATGATCATACATTCTTTTTTGTAGTGCTTCTGCGCAAAGTTCCATTTTGTTCTATTCTTTCTATTTTTTTATTCTTTAGAGCTAATGTTACGCATAAGTAATGTGGTATTCAGGTTTCGACTATCACTAAACCTTCTTTTCAGGGAGGAATTATCTCCTCAGAGATCATATGACTTGACAGTTTGGGGACATACTTTGTGAAAAATCTAGAAATCCCGTAGATGTTGATTTGTGATTATGTATCAATTTTAAGCAGAATATAACAATCCCAATCAAACAATCAAGACAAAGAGACACAACGATTTAACGTGGAAAAACCGATGGATGAAAATGAAGTGCCTCGAAATGCGTGCACGCGGGCACGCAAACCGAGGCAATGGCATGGAAAATGATATGCAAGCATG